ATTAATTAGACTTCCAAGATAAGGGCGCTAATCAGGTACCATGTTTAGGGCTTATCAAATGAACAAAAATAATATTCCTATTTTATTAACAACTGTAGCATATTTACATATATAAACAAAAACATTACAATGGTCCCTCCTTTTGAAACATGACTTCCATTGTCATTAATATTTAAAACATGAACATGAAACAGAATTATACGTAAAATCAAATTACACAAATGCCAAACAAAATCAACAGAAAGACAAAAAGTAAAACAACAAAATTATATCAAACCAGAAGTCTCTGTCGAGACTGAAGCTCTACTGGTTTGTACTTATAGCAAAGGAAGAGAAAAGTACTTCAGCAGTTGGGAATTGAAACTTAACAACAGCAATAGATAGAATAATGATCCTTGATAAAGTCTCTTTAAGTTCGTAGTGTAGTCTACACTCTACAAGTTTGCGAAGTTATATTGAAATCAGACCAAAACTGTAGGAGGAGTAGCATTTTAAAGGAATTTCACAAAAATTTCTATTTTTAGTTACCACGGCAAAACCGTTTATTGAAATCAAAAGCTGATAAACAGAATTATGTATCTTAGTGTAGTCTACTCGTGTGCCAAGTTATATTGAAATCAGACCAAAACTGTAGGAGGAGTAGCATTTTAAAGGAATTTCACAGAAATGTCTATTTTTAGTAACCACAGCAACAAAGTTTATCGAAATCAAAAACAGATATAGAAAATTATGTATCTTAGTGTAGTCTACTTGTGTGCCAAGTTATATTGAAATCAGACCAAAACTGTATGTGGGGTAGCAATTTAAAGAAATTTCACAGAAATTTCTATTTTTAGTAACCAGGGCAACAACGTTCATCGAAATCAAAAACCGATACACAGAATTTTGTATCTTAGTGTAGTCTGCTAGTGTGCAAAGTTATATTGAAATCAGACCAAAACTGTAGGAGGAGTAGCATTTTAAAGGAATTTCACAGAAATTTCTATTTTTAGTAACCACGGCAACAACGTTCATCGAAATGAAAAACTGGGTCCGCCGTCAAAACTCTGAGAATTCTCAAAAAAATTCTCAACTCAACTTCTGATAATTACTCAGCTGAGAATTTGAGAATAACAGAGTTTAAGGTATAATTATTTTTCTCAACTTTTTATGACGGCCGCTGAGTCTGAGAATTTTGGATTTGGGAAAATTCTCAGACTTGAGAGCATTCTCAGACTTAAGTATGTTTTATAACGGCGGACCCTGATAAATAGAATTATGTATCTTAGTGTAGCTTCTTGTGTGCCAAGTTATATTGAAATCAGACCAAAACTGTAGGAGGAGTAGCATTTTGAAAGAATTTCACAGAAATTTCTATTTTTAGTAACCACGGCAACACCGTTTATCGAAATCAAAAACCGGTATAGAGAATTATGTATCTTAAAGTAGTCTACTTGTGTGCTAAGTTATATTGAAATCAGACCAAAACTGTAGGAGGAGTAGCATTTTAAATGAATTTCACAGAAATTTCTATTTTTAGTAACCACGGCAACAACGTTCATCGAAATCAAAAACCGATACACAAAATTATGTATCTTAGTGTAGTCTACTTGTGTGCCAAGTTATATTGAAATCAGACCAAAACTGTAGGAGGAGTAGCATTTAAAAAAATTTCACAGAAATTTCTATTTTTAGTTACCACGGCAACACCGTTTATCAAAATCAAAAACCGATATACAGAATTATGTATCTTAGTGTAGTCTACTTGTGTGCCAAGTTATACTGAAATCAGATCAAAACTGTAAAATGAGTAGCATTTTGAAAAATTGTTTACAGACAGACGGACATACGGACAGACAGACAGACAGATGGACAGACGGACGGACGCCGGACGCATTACTATCGCATAAGCTCTTCTGGTCTCTGACCAGTAGAGCTAATAAAAATGTCACTAGATTAAATCAAAAGTTTATCACACTGGTAGCTTCACATGGATTTCCCTGGCCTTATTTTCAACATTTTCTCTTCCCTTTTCCAGGCTTTCCTTCCCTAGGTTTTAGGCCGTATAAAGTTGACTGACACCTGACCTGCGGCATCAGTCATCTTAATTAATATAATTCCTTACAGTTCTCTTTTCAACACTGGTCCCTGGTCCTGCATTGGTACATGTACTTTGGGCTCTCATATTTTTATAGATACTGTGTGATCCGTCACCCGCGCTTGGAGGTTTGGTAGTATCCGCAGCTGCTATTTCATTGTTCCATTCCCCATCTTGAATCTCATACAGAGGCCTATAGCCTGGTTTTGTCTCCTTTGGCAATTCTTTTTCCCCAATTCGCAAGCACTCTTCTTGCATTGCATTAAGAACTGCTTCTTGAAGTGACCTAGGTCTGGTCTGTTTCACTGCGAGTCAAAAATCCTCAGATTGTCCACACTTATTTAAGAAGGACTGTATAGCATTTTCTTCAACTAAATGTGGATTTCCTGGATAGGCCCTTCGGTACAAATCTTCGATGGCCTGTCCTAAATCTCGCAGGGACTCACCCGGTAGTCTTCTTCTCAATTTTGCGTCTGCAATATACCTTTCTTTCATTGCAGAATGCCCGAATCTTTGGTTCATCTTATCCTTAAGTTGCTCATAGTCTTTCTGTACAGTAAGGGGCATTTCATAGGCATAGCTCTCGGCTTGTCTTCGCAAGGTGCTAAGCAAAGCTCTGCGAGATTTCTCGGGTCCCCATGAGTTTAATTCTGATATGTTTTCAAAATACTGTAGAAACTCATCCCAAACATCATCATTGGCCCCTGAGAAGGTCCTCCTTACTGGGTATTCATTGGTTTGTTGACCAGCATTTGGTGTCGTAAGACTGTTTGTAGGTGTCCCGTCAGCAACCGGAAATTCAAAATTGTACCCAAGTCCCTGAGGAGACCGATTATCCAAATAAGGAGTAGTGCGTCCAGATTGCCCAAAAACTGTAGGTTCCTGATAGGTGCATGTAGGGGCATTAGGTGCACTACCACCAGTATAGGGTGTATCACTGGGTATCAAAGAAATTTCCCTTTCCTTACTGGCATTCAGCAGACCTGATCCTGCATACTTCCATAATACTCTGATTACCGTAGCAAGCAATATCATACTCGTTATCGATATTAGAGAAATTACTGCATTTTCTTGAGATCCCTGCACAATCCCATTCTCTGGAAAATAGATCCAGGTCATCACCATCAGGGAGCATCCTATCAAAGCAAAGAGTACCCAAACAAGAGGCCCATGGGCCTTATAGGTCACCTGAGTATCATGTAACAACTTTCGAACAATTGAATTTGTTTCGGACTTTTAACCAGATGCCAGGAAATTCACAATTTTGAAAGAGGTACCATTGCTTATCAAAATTATAAACTTAGCATGCTTATTTTGGTTACTTGAAACCCAGAGGTAGATCAGAGTAACAAAGAGAAAATGCATTTTCACTTTTAGAGAATTTCAGGGCCCCTGGGTCAGGGCTTCTTCTGTTAGGGCGGGTCCACAGTTGATCTCCTCATCCCACAGTAACCACTGACCCTAGGGCCACATCTTTCAAAATTTTGGAAATTTTTTAAAATTTCATTTCATCATGCTGTTGATTAATACCGAAGTGCAGATTTCAAAGCATTAAATTATTTCAAACTATGTTACCTCCCTCCCCCAAAGTACCTCTGTCCCAGGGGACAGGAAATTAACCAATTTTGAATGAAGCAGGTTTTTTTTCATAAATATATACTAAGATCATTGGCATTATACCCAATAACAAAGGAAAAGATTTTCAAAGAATTCAAGCATTTTCACTATATAAACATTAGAGCCCCCCCCTCCCCCAACACAAAAATCTCTAACCCATGTACCCTTAAATTCAAAAATCTCAGAGGCATCCTTCCTCCTCATAACTATGTACATAGTTCATTGATTAAATACTCAGGTGCAGAAAAGAAGAGTTTTAAAGAATTTATGCATTTTCACTATATATTCAATAAAGTCCCGCCCTAAGTCCAGAACCCCCAACCCAGGGGCCATGAAATTCACAATTTTGGAAGAGGTAGCCTTATTCAACATAACTATGTACTTGGTTAGTTTATTTGATACTCAGGAGCAAAGAAGAAGATTTTTAAAGAAATAATTCATTTTTTACTATATAATCTATATAGCCCCACCCTAGCACTAGAACCCTTGACCCTGGGGCCATGAAATTCACAATTTTGGAAGAGGCAGCTTTATTCAACATAGCCATGCACTTGGTTAGTTTATTTCATGCCCAAGAACAGAGAAGAAGAATTTCAAAGAATTTATGCATTTTCACTATATAATCTATATAGCCCCACCCTAGCACTAGAACCCTTGACCCTGGGGCCATGAAATTCACAATTTTGGAAAAGGCGATCATTTTCAACTTACCTATGCACTTGGTTAGTTTATTTAATGCCCACAAACAGAAAAGAAGAATTTCAAAGAAATAATGCATTTTCACTATATAACCTGTTTAGCCCCGCCCTAGCACTAGAACCCCTGACCCTGGGGCCATGAATTTCACAATTTTGGTAGAGGACTCAATGCTGATTACAATCATACCAACAGTTTAACTGCTTGATGTCCAGGAGTAAAGAAGAAGATTTTAAAAGACTGCACTAATTTTAGTGGTTTTTGCCCCACCCCCAGGCCCCAGGGGGGCAGGGTCCATGAAATTCACAATTTTTTTTCCCTTCACCCATAAATGCTATATGCCAAATTTGGTTGAAATTGGTTTAGTGGTTTCAGAGAAGAAGCTAAAAATGTTCAAATGTTAACGCACGACGAACGACGAAAACAGATAGCAATAGGTCACCTGAGTTTACTCAGGTGACCTAAAAATACCTAGGTTAAGTTACTTGTTTTAGGTACAATCGAGCCATTTTGGACAGTTATGCCCCTTGCCAAGGATGCAGAAAAATTCCAATTATTTGGGGGAGAGGGGGCATAAGTGTTTTACAAACATCTCTTAATTCATCTTTTTATTTGTTACATACAAAACAAACATTAGCATACAATATACTGTATACATATGTAATTACACTGCATATACGGTTGAAATTAACATTTTCACAATTGTATTATTTTATTTAATCTATTAGAATTTATGGTGTATCTTTGCTATTACTTCCATTAATCAATAGGAACATTTATTAATTAGACCCTGTAACATGCAGCAGTTGAAGAACACCTGCCGCTTTTGGTGTCAAAGTGAGTGCGATCAGGACATTTGATGGCTTTGGCTTCCCCGCTATTACATCTATAATATGCATCACACGGTCTTGTACTGAATCTGTAACTGCCATCTGGTACTCCAGAACAATCCGGTAGTCGCCCAACTCCCCGTGGATCAGATACCGGTATAGCGAACCTTTGTGTGCATATGCCTTTATAGAGATATGTTTGTGTTCCCCATAGAGGGTCAACTGGACACTGCCCCTCCTCCACTAACCTATTTTGATAGCACCGAATAAATGCTTTATGGACGAAAGGATGTTCAAATACACCATCAGGTAGATCAAAACAACTTGGATGATTTCCATTACCACAGTTTCCACCGTGTCGGTTCAAATATGCAATGTACCAGTAGCTGCCTAAAAAAGGGAATTGTATGGTAACCGTTTTGATTTATTTAAATACATCACAGGGCATGTCTTATGAAATAAAATCATTTTAAAGTAAAATTTGAAAATGAATTGTCAATAGGTATAAGGAAAATTTTGTGAACAGATGTATGTCATCAGAGTAATGTTGGTTTCCATCGAAATGAACAGTAGCAACTACCATGTATTTTTGGTCGAGGAATTTCAAAAGGAACGGCAATTAAAATATGAAATATTTCTGCTTTTATTCTCTTTTCTTAGACAAAAGCTCAAATGAGCAATGTTTTTTTTTAGACCATAACCCTCGGAGGTACACACGGAGTATTAGCATTAATAAGTTTTGAAGGAATGGGATGGTACTTTTTCAGAAACTTTTGTTACATTTTTTTCAAATTCTGGAATTTGCCAGTGTTTGTATTTATAGGAGCGAAAACTGAAAGGACGGCATTTTATGGAAGGTTTCATATTAAAACTACATAAAAGGTTATAATCACAAACAATGGGGAAGGATGTATTTTAGAAAATTGACTCAATGGAAATTCGACTTCTTTGTAAAATTCCCCTATCGACCACTAGTAACCAGATCTGTTTTTAGTTTTTACAATTTAAAAACAATGCTCACAGTAATCTTTTTCTTCCCTGCGCGATGCACAATTGACGTCAGTGAAATTCTCACATTGCTTTGTTCTCTCTGAAAATTGTAGCGGATAGGGACATTCCGCTACCCTTTCTGGAAAGGATCCCGAATCATGAAACTTATCGTCTGCATACGGATTGCAATACAACTGACAACTTTGTGGAAGAGAAGAGTTACCAGATTTACAATCACCCATATCAGCATGAAACACGGTTCCACTTGGACATTTTTTGATTGTTATATCACCATTGTCACACCTATAATACGCATCACATGCACGACCTATTCCAAAATAATCTCCAAATTTCATCAGTCCACTGTCACCAGTAAAACGATAAGTACCATCAACTTTTTGTTTACAAGACGATAAAAGATCTCCAAGATTGTCTTGAAATAGGAAACCCTCTGCTGAAATGCAGAAAAGAAATGAGCTAAGACTCAGTGTTTTCAATGTAATCTTCATGATCCCTTCCTTTCATTGAATAAAAATTTTGATAAGAAGTAGTGGAAAGTTCTTTGCTCTGTAATATTATCTCACAGGTGCACCTAATTCCTTTGTAACTATGCAATATTCTGATCTCAATATGTGTCAAAGGACACTAAATCATCCTTCTTTATGAAGAACTGCATGGCAATCTTAACCTTAAAATTTAAATCGCATTGGCGTAGGAAGCAAATTGAAAGGAGGGGGGGGGGGGGGGGGGGGGGGGGGGGTAAGTGTAAGAATTTTTTTTTAGACCTACACAAACACCTGACAAGCAAAAAGGGAAAATACAATGTATATCCGTTGTCCAATCACTTAAATCCTATTTCTTGGGGAGGGGGAGGGGCTGTAGTTTCAACATTCTTTCAGTACCAATTTTTTCCCCTAAACACTATCTAACCAATTCTCCCCATCAGCAGAGATGCATCAGCAAGCCATATGCCTGAAATACTAAAATACAGGAAGGCATAGAAGGTGTAAAGCAACTGCTGAAAAATCTTAAACCAGTCAAAGCAGATGGTTTAGATCAGATCCCTCCCATTTTATTGAAAGAGCTGCACCATGAGAGGTAAGTCCAATAATTCAGGTCCTCTTACAACTCTCGTATGTCACACGTACAGTATCATTATACAAGACGGGGGATCAAAACCAGCCAAATACTGATCAATATCGCGTACTGTATATTGTGTAAAACTATGGAACACATACAGCACTAGTTTCGGAAATAAATTTTTAACCTATAGTATAATAATAACATGATGTTATTGTTGGTGCTATGGGTTAAAATTTTAATAGAGCGTAGCGGAGTCAGCCGAGGATTGCCGGTTGGAAAGTTGTAAAGAAACTTCAATTGAAATGAAATCCGTAGAATAATATTTAGACATGTCTTTATTAAACTCTTTGGTTCTATAAAAAGATACAAAAACTAATTTATGCATAAACATTTCCTTTATTCTTCTTGCAGTCATGTATGTAGAATTAATTAAGTTTGAACTAGAACTGTCCAAACGGGACAAAATACCCCCCGCTGGGTTTTTCAGAAGTAAGTTTTTCCATAATAAAAATATGTATCAAATACCAATTATGAAATTTTTCTTCCAGTGACCTTGAACTTCCCCAGATAATCTTGGGTCAAGGTCATGACACATCCTTGGGTCATGGGCAATCTTTCAGTGAAATGAGAACCTACCAAGTTTATCCATAAGAAAGATATGGACCGGACACGAATTATGATATTTTTCTTCCAGTGACCTTGAACTACCCCAAATGACCTTGGGTCAAGGTCATGACACACCCTTGGGTCATGGGCAATCTTTGAGTGAAATGAGAATCTACCAAGTTTATCCATAAGAAAGATATGGACCGGACACGAATTATGATATTTTTCTTCCAGTGACCATGAACTTCCCCAAATGACCTTGGGTCAAGGTCATGACACACCCTTGGGTCATGGGCAATCTTTGTGTGAAATAAAAACCTACCAAGTTTATCCATAAGAAAGATATGGACCGGACAGGAATTATGAAAATTTTCTTCCAGTGACCTTGAACTTTCCAAATTGACCTTGGGTCAAGGTCATGACACATCCTTGGGTCATGGGCAATCTTTGTGTGAAATGAGAACCTACCAAGTTTATCTATAAAAGATATGTATCAAACGATTTTTGAAAATTTTCTTCCAGTGACCTTGAACTTTCTCAAATGACCTTGGGTCAAGGTCATGACACACCCTTGGGTCATGGGCAATCTTTGTGTGAAATGAGAACCTACCAAGTTTATCAATAAGAAAGATATGGACCGGACACGAATTATGAGGTTTTTCTTCCAGTGACCTTGAACTTCCCCAAATGACCTTGGGTCAAGGTCATGACACACCCTTAGGTCATGAGCAATCTTAGTGTGGAGTAGTAGATTCTAATGTCCCTCTGTAAGAAAGATATGGACCGGACACGATTGCACAGACAGACGGACAGACAGACAGACGGACGGACGGACAGACGGACAGACAGACAGACGGACAGACGGACAAGGTGATTCCTATATACCCCCCCAAACTTCGTTTGCGGGGGGTATAATTATTAGGTGAATGTTTATATTAAATCATACACGCCAATCTAGGAACACTCTCTAAGATTCTATGGTAATTAAAGACACATGGCCAAAAGAACTCCTGCATTTTTTCTCGCTTTCTTTGTTTTACTGTTCTTCCTGGATTTTTCGTTAGGAAAAAGATTTAAACGCCATGGTAAGTAACGATAATATCGATATCATTAAAAACAAGAGGCCCATGGGCCTTATAGGTCATCTGAGTATCATGTAACAACTTTCCAGCAATTGTATTTGGTTCGTGTTTTAATCCAAAAGCCATGAAATTCACAAATTTTGAAGGAGGCACCATTGCTTATCAAAGGGCAGATTTCAAAGCATTAATTTATTTTTAGTCAAAGTACCACCCTGGTACCCCTGACCCAGCGGCCCTGAAATTATCTATTTTGAAAGAGGCCCCTCTCTTCATTATAAGCCAGCATTTTTCTTTTATGTTTAGGTTTAGTTATGAACATGAGAATAAAAAAGTCCCGAAAGAGAAGGAAATAAAAAAAAAATTTTTTGATAAATCAATTATTAAAATTTGTACATTCTTTTTCATGCTATTCTAATAGGCTCCTTACCACTGGACACATAATGCTTACAAATAGGAAAGTAGAACATTTAATTGCTTATTTCATCATCTGCCAGTTTGGGCCAGTTATATAAATTTTGTGATGTTGGTCAAAATATATTTTAAATAATCAATTCTTTAAAATTCTTTCAATATATCTTCATTTTTTTAATATGTGTAAGGTGAATGTGTAGACATTGTTCTAAAATTTACTTGATGCCTAAAATTATAATATTCCTATCATAAAACAGACAGGGAGTATTGGGGAGTAGGGTGAACATTTTTTCAATGAAGTGTAAAATAATTTTTTCTGGCTGATACAAATGATACTACATGCCTGTATATATTTGTATATTCTTGCCTTTTAATAGTTGAATTTTTTTTTTATTTCTTCAGGTTATTGTTTATTTCTTCCTCAAATGGACTTAACTTCTCCCATAGTTTTATTCATTACATCTGATGCATAAGCAACCCTTTTCTGAAGAATGATGCTTAGACTGTAAGCTATAACAGAAACCTAAACAATGTCGCTGGCAATATGCAATAGCTACCACGGGGAGGAAAATGATTTACAGACAGATACTTTTAAAACGAATACATAATTATCTCACCAGCATGTCATTGTGCAACAAAGTCGTCAGCATTTTATTTGTCCTTTGAACGGGTGAAACGTTTTGAATGGCACTCGTATCGATGAATTTTACACTAAACCAAGCTACAGGTGACTCTCGATCTCTCGAAGTTCAAGGGACCGCAAGAAAAGTTCGAGAGATCGAGGGGTTCTCGAGATAGAAAGTAAAAAAAATCCGGAATTGTCAGTTCCGATTACCGATGTTCTACTTTTATAGATACTGGAAGTATATGTAAATAAAGTCATTGCACGTTTTCAGTCGTATTTGACAGGTAATTTAAGTGATATCAACAACAATGATTTTATTTCGAATAAATAAAACAAATTTCTAAAGTTTCAGTATAATTTTTTGTTCTTATTTCATGATTGCATGAAACCCGAAAAGCAATTGTCGGTTTGGCTATTCTGTGGCTTGATCGGGACCTTCTCCAGTGTTCACCAGATTTTTCTTAATCGGTATTCAGTCCTTGAGAAAGGAATTTTCTTGTGCAATATTTGTCATGCTGGAATTATTTAGACTCTGTTTAATCATGATAAAAGTTCATAGTCTATTGGAACTTACTGAAACTAACATCTATAAATTAAATTTCTAAAAATTATCGTCTCAGTTTCGATTCGAAATAAGTTGTGAATTTGTTTAAAATCGACCTTGTAATTAATAACCAATTAATTATATCAAAACACGGACGACCCACAGGTGGAGTGTCATCTATGTAAACACCCAATTAACACCTCCATGCTAGCCCAAGGCGTTCATTCTTTCCAGGTAAGTCCAGACTGCATCAATTTTACACTTGATTGGCGTGTATAAATGCGCAATCAAAACTTCGAGAGATAGAGAGTAAAATTCAATGAAATATGTGTAACGGGACCATGATCTTGGTTCGAGAGATAGAGAACTTCAAGAGATAGAAGTTCGAGAGATCAGGAGTAAATTTGCTTAATTATATAGAGAAAAAAAACGGGACCGGACGTTCACTTCGAGAGATCGAGAACTTCGAGACATCGGAGTTCGAGCCATCGAGAGTCACCTGTATCTTCTCAGATCTAGCTTTATTTACCCGCCGTTTCATCTTAAAACCGGAAGTGCGAGTTCGTAAATTTGAAATCTCGATCCCGACTCAAATTTGACATCGGAAAGAAAAAAAATGCTTTATTTTTTTCTGAAAATTCAAAACCTTGAGTGGAGGGTTTGTAAAACTGAAAATAAAATAAATCCTGGCCTTAAATATGTAATTAGATCATTAGTATATTAATCAGGAGCAAAGGATAAGATGTTCAAAGAATTCATGCATTTCACTATATAATCATTAGAGCCCCACCCTAAAACAAGAACTCCTGACCCTGGGGCCATAAAATTCACAATTTTGGTAGAGGCACTCTTGCTCATCATAACTATGTACTTAGTTAGTTTATTTAATACCCAGGAGCAGAGAGGAAGATTTTTAAAGAATTCATGTATTTTCACTATATAATCAATAGAGCCCCGCCCTAACACCGGAACCCCTGACCCTGGGGCCATAAGATTCACAATTTTGGTAGAGGCACTCTTGCTCATCATAACTATGTACTTAGTTGGTTTATTTAATACCCTGGAGCAGAGAAGAAGATTTTCAAAGAAATAATGCATTTTCACTGCCTACTTATTTAGCCCCGCCCTAGCACTAGAACCCCTGATCCCAGGGCCATGAATTTCACAATTTTGGTAGAGGACTCATTGCTGATTACAATCATGCAAACAGTTTGACTGCTTGATGT